TCAACTTAATGTTAAGGCCATGCACATGCTATTTTGTGCATTTGGTCATGAAATCTATAAAGGGGTTTCTTCATGTTCAAGTGCCAAGGAGCTTTTGAATAAGCTCGAGGAAATCCATGGAAACAAGAAAGAAGAACCAACAAAGGTGGTGTCTCTAATGGCTTGTGAAGAACTCGAGGTATCTTCTAACTCAAATGAATTTAATTCATATACGTTTGATGAGTTACAAGATGCCTTTAATAGGTTATATTCGGAGTTTGAGGCTATGAACTCCAAATATAAGAAAATGATTTCAAAATTTAAAATCGAAAATGATTTTCTTTTGAAAACAAAAATAGATTTTGAAAGCCAAAATGAAATTTTGAAAAAGGATTTAGAGCTTTCAAAAATAAAAATTGAAAGTTTTGAAAAAGAAAATTTTGATTTAAAAGTTAAGCTTGAATGCTTAACAAAAGAAAAAGAAATCATTTTAAATAATTCATTTAGTTCAATAATGACAATATGTTCACATTGTCATTATCATGGTCGTAAGGAACATACTTGTCCTTTGAAGAAAGGAAAACGTTTTAAAATTAGACAAGTGTGGATTCCTAAAGGAACAAGGGGCATTGAAACTAACGTCCAAGGATCCAAAGCAATTTGTATACCAAAATCGAAATGAATGTCTCTTGTAGGTGTGTGGAAGCAATTGTGATGAAAATGATGATATTCAAGATGCTCTAGCCACACATGAAAAGGAATGAGTAACCTCTAAGTTTAATGTTTTTAATTTTAGTTATTTGGTTGCTCATTTGATTTTAAGCATGCAAGAGTTTTGTTTTTAAATAATTATACATTATTGTTTTAATCTCATGTATGTTAAAAAGGTTTTATGATGAACATTTTAAAGTTTTAATGATTTTTTTAGAATTTTTAGTTCATAATAAGGAATTTTGGTCAAAATTGGTTTTAAAGCAATTGATATCAATTTTTCAAATGTTTTGATTTTATAAATTTTTAAAATTTTTGACCTAAATTTAAATGTTTATGCATGTGGTTTAAATGAAAATGATATATCTCTAACAATTGATATCAAAATTTTCAAATGCTTAATATTTTTGGAAAACTTTATGCATATGCACTTAGTTTCAATAATTGATATTGCATAAAGTATTTTAGACTTGGAAGTATTGAATTTCATGTGCTACTAATATGTTTGTTATTCTTTGTTGAAATTCAATTTTGTTTAAGTGTCAAAATCCTAAAAGCATAATTTTATTTGGAATGCATTTATTGAGGGGAACTTTGATTTTTTCAAATGATTTTTAAAATGTCAAATTTACTATTTACTCTCAAAAGTTATTTTGAACTTCAAAGATTAGAGTCTTTTTGATTTAACAAAAAGGGGGAGAAGTGTTAAGGTGTTAAAGGGGAGAAGTGTTAAAGTAAGGGGGAGTAATTTCAAACTTGATTTCAAAATCTTAAAATTACTCAAATGTTTTGTTATATTAAAAAGGGGGAGATTGTTGAAAACATTTTGATGTTTCGATATAACAAACTAAGTTAAATGAATTTTTAGATTTTACAAAAGATTTTCTAAGTATACTCGATGTAATTATTCGAATATCAAAATATTACTCCAAGTCTTTCGAAGTTCATTTTAATCCTTACTAAAGTGTAAAATTGTGTTTTATACTTAAACTAATTTTAAAACAATTTTACAAAGTATTTTGAACCATTTCAAAGCCAAGAAAAATTCAGATTGTCCACGGGGTACAGATTCCCCCCAGGGGGTACCGATTCCCCCTGTCTAACGGTCAAAAACATATTGCACTTAGGGAACCGATTCCCCATTAGGGGGTACCGATTCCCCCAACGCTCCAAGCTATTTTATTAATTGTTTCTCATCTCCAAACGGCTCCAAAACATCCCCAACGGCTATATACGACTTCAAACACATTCCAAGCTATAAATACAACCTAAGGACACTTGAAAAAGCAAGAGAACAACTATCAAAGCAATCAAATACAAGAGAATAGTTTTTCATTTTTATTTAATCTTTCTCTTGTAAATATTTTGTTCTTGTGAGCTTAATTCTTGTAAATACCTACCTTAGAGAGGTTTTCTTGTTTACATTTATTATCCTTTTGTAAAGGGGAAAGGTTATAGCTTAGTCCGTGTAAAAGCTAGGGAAAGGTTATAATTTAACCCGAAAAAACTAGAGAGTTTGTAAGGTTACTCTTTATCCTCAAAAGAAAGAACAAATTAGTGAATTTGTTAGAAAATCCTTAGTGAGGAGCTAAGGTAGTGGACGTAGACTTTGGTTGAGAAAATCGAACCACTATAAATCATTGTGCAATTCTCTATCTTCCAATCTCCTTACTCCCTAAACACAAAACCGTTTTGATCCCTCTTTGCAAACCGTTTCGGTTGTCGATTCGAGCTTCCGAAAATCCTAACATATTTGTTCGGATCGAATTAGATATTTTTACCCTAAACCCGAATTCGACATAATCCAAACATCACCTTTAAAAATCCGACCCGACCTGAACCCGATTTAAAAAAAACTCTGATCCGATCGGGTCGGAACCCTTCGGATTCGGAACCAATACCCATCACTAGTTCAGTGTAGACTAATAATCCGATGACGTTAACTTGATTTTCCTTGTTTATTCAATAATTGATTTCTCAATTAAATCTTCGTCGATGTTAAATAATTCGTTCCAACTGTTTCAGTTTCAGTTTCCGTTAATTAATCTCTTACGATTTTTATCGAGATGTCTATAATCCACTTTATGACCGTGTAAAAGCTTAAATTTCCGACTTTGACCTCATTATGTTTTAAAAAAAGGTATTTTAAAATACCTCATTTGTTTATATGATATTGAGGTTCAATATAATTCAGATCTATCAAGACTCGAACCTCGTCAAGGATACATTGACGACCACGTAACCATGTAGGACAGAACAAGACATGGTACGATGTCTCACATATCCAATCTTTTTATCAAATTTTTATATTTCAATTATTTTTATTCAACTAATATGGGGTTTTATAAATATTTAATAATATAAGTCACAGGCTCGCATTACACACGAGCGGAGGGAGAATAAAAAGAAAAAGCCAAAGCAAAACAAAGAGAGAGAAGAAGGCGCGCTCGGTGAAAATATCTTTAGAAGAGAGAATATAATTATTAGATTTCTCTTTGAAGACGAATACCGGAAAGCTGTACCCGGTTTTATATTCTTGAAAGGTGTACTCTTGAAACGCACTTTTCCCCTTTTTATTTTTTTATTAATTAATTTTTTTATTCAATAATTTTTTATTATTTTTGTTTAATTAATTTTTGTATTCAATAATTTTTATTTTATTATTTAATTATAAATTTATTTAGTTTATATTATTATTTGCAATTAAAAATACAATAAAAATATGAATATATATATATATATTTTTTGATTTTTAAATATTAAGAAATCGTTCATATAAGTTGATGTACATGTACATACGTTTTTAATTATCTATATATAATTAAATAAAAATAATAAAAATCAATTAATAAAAAAAAATGGGTAATACACATTCTAGGGGATGCGTTTTCCAAGAAATCCAAAACCGGGTAAAGCTATTTCCAGGGATGCACTTTTACGGATAAATCTTCTATCTTTTAAAGGGTTGTTAGATCTAAAAATATTTTTTTAAAAAATTGAATGGTCGGGAAATATTTATCTCCTACAGGGAAGAGTAGTCTACAAGACGAGAGAGAGAGAGAGAAGGGTTAGGGTGCCTTGGATTCTGGGTCGGGCCGTCCGTGAACTAAAACAAAAGTTCAAAGCTCAAGGATTTTGTTTGTTGTTTGATGCACTTTAACCAAAAAAGAAAGTGAAATCACACGCAGCCCCTCCTGGTCGCGGAAAAGAAAAGAAGAGAAAAGAAGGGCACCCCGACGTCAAAGGAGGCTCTGTTGGGTTGCTGACCTGTTTAGTACAATAAAGCAAAAGCAACCGAAAGAAAGAAAGAGATAAACAGAGTTTCTTTTTTTCTTTCTGGTTGGGTATAATTCTCTTTCCTTTGTTTTCTTCCTCGTTGAGGAATATTTTCACCTCTTTTTTCTATCCTTTTGGCATTGGTCTCAGTCAGATTAATGTCTGATGTTTATTGAAAGTCAAAATGTCCGATAAGCAATAGCCCGATTCCTATTAAACCCCAAAAACCAAAAACGAAAAAAATTTAAAAACAAAATGGTACACGAAGTCCTATATATATATTTTTTAAAAAATTAATAATATTTTCTGCATTCAAACTAAAAAAAACCTAATATCATTTGACTAACTTTTTTGTCATTGATGAACGACTACGTTAATTCCAACTAACGTAGATGCTTCCTTAAATTCATTACGAAGTAAACACTACTTGTAACTGTTGGTAAATACATAAATAATCAATTTCAAGTTATATGAACAATTGTTGAAAGAGAAGAAAAATAATCCTAAAAGTGCTTTTTGAATACACTTATAATTAATTTAAAACATCATAATGACGAATGGCAAAAGACTTAATAGTTAGCCAATGACATAAAAACATTAATCAAAGAATCACATTATTATTTTTAATTAAAAGATTACAGTAAAAAAATTACGAAATTTACATTGAATTTTTCTAAAATACAAGAATTTCCCGTGCCTTTTGTCAAAAATTAAAAAATAATAAAACCATCATTCCAAACTGTAAGGACAAGAATGCCGTTTATTACGATTTCCTTTTTCCCTGACGGAGAGGCCCTGATCTCTACCGGACCCGCACTTCTCAACCATTACCGTGGGTTTTTCAATGTAGTCCATTTTTCATACCATAAACGAGAATGTTCAGGCCTGGTTGATGCGTATAAACGGAAATATTCTAAGCTCTGTAGACTTACATGATGCTAATTGCAAAACAATGCAACGTCAACAGTTCCATCAAGATCACACAAATGATGAGTCTTCACATTATCACATACGAAGAGAACAACCAAGTCAACTTTACATGCATACCATACCCTAGATAGCTTAGTTTGTCAATTGTGAGACATATTAGAGACAGGGTAACCGGGTTTTATGGACATCACAATTGTCCCCTAGAGGCAATAGAAAATAATAGCAAGACCTAGCACGAGACCTATTTTGAGTCGTACACTCGCAATACACATCAATTCCAAAGGCTTATCAAGGTCATTATTCTAGTGCACTTTGCATTTCAATAAGATAACACAGCTACAACATGACATATGTTTTGCTTAGACAGCATGGGCTGGAGCTTTTGGTTGGAATTCTTCTTGAGGAACAGGTGATTTACCAAAGCAACCTGATTCCGGTGAAGCTGCAACACCGGGGTTAGCTTTGGTGTCGTCAAATGATTTTGGTGTTGATGGATTAGGATATGGGTTCCTGTTCACCAGCCTGCAAAAAGAAACAAGCAAAATGAAACAGTTGCCACCTCAACTATATTCCCCAATCCCCAAGCTTGGCTGGCACAAATTCGAGATAGTTAATAGTTGGTTTTTATCCAAAGTATATCACATCAATAAGTAACAACGCTCATATAACATCATTTTACTACATTTATAAAGCGTGTCATGAATGCTTAGGATCATAACTCTAAACATGAAAATGGTTTCAGGATGAAAGGGGTACCTGTCCCGCCGCTTCTCCAAAAATCGCTGAAGGGAGTGTCTCCTTGCAATTGGTAATTCTGATCCAATAGATATTTACAAAAACATCAGGCTATTTTAGCTAACATGCACTGAAACGATTAATCATAGAATATTTGCATTTGAAATTCATCCATCTTCTATATAAGTTAGTCGAGTTACCAGCTTGCAGTTTGTAGAAGGTGGGCCTGTTAATAGAATACACTTGTGCCTGTGGTGAAGCCAAAGCAGTTGCTGTTGCAGTACTCTGAAGTGAAGGAGACCTCGTAAGAACAGGTGAAGTGGTGGCACAATCAATTGCGACATTCTTCACGTCAGCAGATTTAGCAGCACCAGCAGCAGCTGTTGCAGCAATAAGCATAATCTCCCGCACCTGATGGACATGAATCAATGGTGAATTTTGGAATGATACCTCCAGTTAAAACTTAGTAGCATCTTCAAGTAAAAAAAAATCAACCTTTTCCGATGGAATTGCATCAAACACACAAATAATTCCATCATAGAAGATGGTGAGTTGGGATGTAGCTGGGCTTGCGGTATTTAGTCCAGATGCCGGCATTGCTACAGAACTTATTCACCAAAAAAAATTGATAAGTGATAACACAATGGAAGCTTGTCATAGGAACACAATATACAAGTACAAGCACTTCAAAAACATTTAATTTTCACCAATCTATGACTTTGTGCAAACCAGTTCTGTGCCCTGGTGTAAATTGTACAGTTAGAGACATTGTCATGCGATCTTTATAACAACGACAATTGATCGATTGCTCCATTTTCTTTTGTTTAAGTTTGTTGCTATAAATATCTGTTGAATAAATAAAGAATCGAACATCTTCATGTGCACTGGAAAATGCTAACTCAAAGAACATAACGAGAATTAGAAGCCCTAAAAAAAACTCAACAAAAACTAACAGTACTAATACTATGTTCTATATGCAGCACTCATAAAATAGCCCAACAGGAAAAAGGCAGATCACTGTCGAATAATTATCCTCAACAAAACAGACTAGGGTACTTAATTAAGCATTAAATTGCACATGATTAAGAAAAACCCTAACCAGGTTGGGAATTTTTTCTCGGAAAGAAAATCAGGGGTTTCAACGGATCCCAGATTCCCAACATCATTATCACCTACAACATCGCCATTACTTTGTTTAACGACGACGTTCGGCTTCATTTCCCCGTACGAACCAGCTTCCCCTTCCATGGAAACCTTAATTTGCCTTTACCTTTCGTTGCTATTTCTTTGATCTGTTTTGCTTTGTTTATCGTTTGTTATCACACGTGTGTATTATACAAGAAACCAAGCGGCTGAGGAAATGATATTTAATTGTTTAGGAGAATTGCGTGGTTTCCAAAGGCTGCTTGGGGGACCACTCTACGAGTCGAGAGCAAACATGAAGCAGCAAATTGTCGTCTGATTCTCGTTAGATCATCCAATAAAAAATCTTGAAAATTAAAGGGTAAAATACACAATGGTTCTCCGGTTATATGATAATGCTTTATCGGGCTTCTTGACTAATAAAAGTTACAAAGCGATTCTTTGACAGTAGGGAGTTACTTTGTTGAGTTTCTCGACTATTAAAAGTTACAATATGGTCACTGGACTATTTTTTTTTTGGATATATCCAAAGGTATCCCCAAGCTTTGCCTGAGACTAATCCCTTGAGGTACTGTCGGGCACGAAGTTGGGGACCTCTCCCAAGAAAGTTTGCTACATCTACAAGGGTTCGAACCAGGGACCACTTGCTTAAGCGACCAAAGCCCCTTCCACTCAGGCCAACCTTCGTTGATGGTCACTTGACTATTTATTATATTTCAAACTTATCATTTTCCGTTAAAAATTTAACAGTCGTCTGAGTTGGACATTAATATGTCGACTGAGATATGATAATCATTTGAGATTGTTAGACCATATTTTATCATATATCAGTCAGTAAGTTAACGTACAACTTAGATTGCCGTCAAAATTTTAACGGAAAATGACGAGTTTAGAACATAATTAATAGTCGGGTGATCATTTTGTAACTTTTAATAATTGAGGGACTCAACAAAGTAATTTTCTATAGTTAGGGGACCAATTTGTAACTTTTAATAATTAAGAGACTCAATAAAATGTTATCCTATAAAATAAAGGGACTATTTATATACTTTGTCCAAAATTGAATTATTAATTTAATTTTAATTAATTAAAATTATTTCAAAGATTAAAATAAAAAATCAATAATAGTTTAATAACTGAACAAGGGTTAATAACATGTCAGATACCGGGCCCATTTTTAGGGGCATTTATAGGGATGGATATGGCTAATTTAAAGGCCTGGGCCACTCTGACCTGACCACCGCTTCTACTAAATAATCCCGTCCACTTGCTTGAATGGGATTTTTTTTTACTTGAATAAATAAATGTTTATAATTTTTGTATATTTTTAAATGGAATAAACACAAATAATTTTTTTTATTTAAATATAATTTTTAGGGTGAGCATCCATACGTTAATAACACAATTTTTTTTAATGGGATAGACAAATAATATTTCAGAGCAGTCACCATTAGTAAAATAAACAAATAATCATAGAAGATTCGGTAAACACATGTTTATCCTTAATACTATATGGTTCCACCACTAGACGAAGATGATATCGACTTATCATTTCTCATATGAAGATATTACGACTGGGGTAGTGAATGAGTTGTCTGTTATTTAATTTCTACCCTTATGGATCTAAAAATACTTTTAAAAGTAGATGTATATATTAATAATATAAATTTTTTATATGAGATTGATATAAGGATTGATACTTATCTACCCTCACGTCATCTGTCACTGGGCCTGAAAGGGCTTACAAATTTTACAATTTAATGGAAACTAGTACGACTAAAACCACAGGGTTGAAACTCTTGGTGCATCGAATTGGCTTGGATGCGTCTTCACAGTCTTATCCCGCCTCCGTTGTTGTATGGATCCGTCTTTCTGATTTACCAGAATTTGCAGCTCAACTACTTACCCTGATGCCGCCTTTAGTCACGCGAGACACATGATTGTTGGTAACAACAAAGAGGCTATCATCGTAGGAGAACTAGATATGGCAAATGGGCGGGGTTAGGGGCGTCAACGATAGCTCGACTCGAAAACTCTGAAATAGAGCTCGACTCAACTCGAAAACTCGCGAGCTTAAAATTTTCAAACTCGACTCGAACTCGAAATCCTGAACTGAAGCTCGTGAGCAGTTCGAAAAGGCTCGAAATGAAAAAAATCTTAAACTTAACTCGATTGAAGCCTCAAACTCAAACTCGAACTTGAACATTAAATACATTAAATCTCAAACGACTATCATATCTCAGTCAACATGTTAACATTCAACTTATATAATGGTTAATTTTTAATGAAAAATGATGGTTTGAAACATAATAAATAGTCGAGTGGTTATTTTGTAATTTTTAATAATCGAAAAACTCAACAAAATAATTCTTAATAATTAGAAGACCGTTATAAAATTTTAATAATCAATAAATTTAATAAAACAATAACATATAATCAATGGACCATTTGTATATTTTACACTAAATTTTAAATACTCCTCTTTCCCTCTAAGTAAAATTTTCCAATAAAGAGACAAGTTATTTAATGCAAACACTAACCTATTATTACAAATTTATCACTGGATTTTAATAAAATCCAACCTATTAAGTTTAGTGAAGAAATTAAAAAGATTTAAAGTAAAGTGAGTAAAATAAGAGAGAGTAAAATTTAGTTACCAAATTTGTAATTTACCCCATATATATATATATATATATATACACATCGCAGTCTCATTATCTCTGCCACTGTTTTTACTGTGACATCACCATAAAAGTTGTCGCCAATTTTAATTGTACTACAGCCACTAGGTGATTAATTATTCAACCAACCCCCTCTCCTAGTTTTTAAGAGCACCGAATATTATCTATCATTTCTCTTCATTTCCCTTAAGACTTAGCCTTCCGACTCTAGTCATTGGCTGCCATCGGAAATGTCTATCTCCGGTGGTGCAGGATTTGTCACATTCCGGCCTAAGAAAAAGCTTTTCTTGGCTCTCTTTGTTTCGATCCTTGTCGTTACTGCTATAGTCACCATTGCCACAGCCGTTTCCAAAAAGAAATCCAGCAATGATAATGCAGCTCACTCCATCGTCAAATCCTCATGCAGCGCCACATTGTACCCAGACTTATGCTTCGCAACGATCTCCTCGGCTCCGGATGCTAAGACCAAGATCAAGAACCCCAAGGACGTGATAGAATTGGTGTTGAATTTGACGATAAGTGCTGTGCAGAGCAACTATTTATCCATCAAGAAGCTCATCAGTACCCGCGGGAAGAGCCTCACGAAGCGTGAAGTGACCGCGCTTTACGACTGTCTCGAACTGGAGGATGAAACTTTGGACGAGCTATTCGAAACTGAACGAGATCTCGTAGATTATCCAAGCTTTAAAAAGTCGATTTCCCAACACGCTGATGATCTCAAGAGCCTTATCAGTGCTGCAATGACCAACCAAGAAACTTGCCTCGATGGCTTTTCTCACGACCGTGCTGATAAAAAGGCGAGACAAGCGATTATCGACGGGCAGATGCATGTTTTCCACATGTGTAGCAATGCCCTGGCAATGATCAAGAACTTAACCGACACGGACATGGCGAGCCAGGGTCACCCATCATCAGGGAGACGACTTAAGGAGCAAGAGGAAACAGAATGGCCTGAATGGTTGTCGGCGGGAGATAGGAGACTTCTACAGGGGACGACAGTGACCCCTAATGTAACCGTGGCGGCTGATGGCAGTGGCGACTTCCTCACGGTGTCGGAGGCGGTGGCAGCTGCGCCGGAGAGAAGCAGTACAAGGTACATCATAAAGATTAAAGCCGGAGTGTATAGGGAAAACGTGGATGTTCCGAGGAGGAAACCCAATCTCATGTTTGTGGGAGATGGGAGGGTCAACACCATCATCACTGCTAGCAGAAACGTCGTTGATGGCAGCACCACTTTCAACTCTGCCACTGTCGGTGAGTAACTAAAAACATCTAATTTCCCCTTTAGATCTTGAAACATTTAACAGTTTCTAATCTATTATCTTAAAACATTACTGCAGCTGCTGTAGGGGACGGGTTCTTGGCCAGGGACATAACATTTCAGAACACGGCGGGGCCATCGAAGCACCAAGCAGTGGCACTGCGTGTGGGATCAGATTTATCAGCATTCTACAGGTGTGACATGTTGGCATACCAGGACACACTATATGTCCACAGCCTTCGCCAGTTCTATTCAGGATGCCTTATAGCAGGCACCGTCGACTTCATATTCGGAAATGCGGCAGCAGTGTTCCAAGACTGTGACATCCACGCTCGTCGTCCCGATCCGAACCAAAGGAACATGGTCACCGCACAAGGCCGCGACGACCCGAACCAGAACACCGGGATCGTGATCCAGAAATGCAGGATCGGTGCAACACGGGATTTAGAAGCCGTGAAGGCCAATTTTCCAACTTACTTAGGGAGACCATGGAAGCAATATTCGAGAACCGTTATCTTGCAATCCGTCATAAGCGACGTCATTAATCCCGCCGGTTGGTTCCCGTGGAATGGTGAATTCGCACTAAACACTTTGACGTATCGAGAGTATCAAAACACCGGTCCCGGTGCTAACACTTCAAGCAGGGTTACATGGAGAGGATATAGTTTGATCCCCATTGCATCGGAGGCGCAAAGCTATACTGCTCGGAATTTCATCTCCGGTGCTAACTGGTTAAACGCCACCGGTTTTCCTTTCTCTCTTGATCTTTGAGTAATTGCTGAAGTTCAGACAAATTCTTGTAGTTCAGAATAAGGGTATTGTCCCCAAGGCAATGTAATGTAATCATGATCCTAAAAGCCAGAGCCAACAGTCAACAGGCATCAAGTTAGTTTATAAGCTTTAATGATCGACCAGAACCACAAAGAAAAGCAATGTGTGTTTTTTTCCATGTTTAGCAAGGTAATTGATTAACCTTCCAAAACTGGACCAAATTTAACACGGCAGCCATTTTTAGCATGCGGTTGAAAGCAATTCAAGTCCAATGTCGATGGTAGAAATGGAGGAAAATGCGGTCTGCAAGTAATAACAAACGTTTAAATATAATGGCCCTGAAACCTCTCCATTTGTATCATTCACGGTATTATGGTTGAACCTCAAAATCCGAACAAGTACAAGGCCAGCGTTGGAAGGTACATAGGGATATTTGTACATTCTCTGTGTTTGTTGATTCCCCTCTCTGCCTTTGCTTCAACCTAAGGCAGAGATCTCTCTCCCTCTCTCTCACTGACTCAACCAAAGATTGATAAAAATGGTGTTTCAAGATTTTGATTTTATACAAGAACGCCGGAGACAGGAGATACAACGGGCACTCAAGAAGAAGATAATCATTGCCGTAGCTATCTTGGTCATTGGTGGTTTTGCGGCGGCGGCGGCCGTTGCTTTTGTTTCTATGAAAAACAGCACCAACCATAGAAAATAAAAAACCAAAACAAAGGCGATAATAATAACAGCGGCGATAGTAAACCGAAAGAACAACCTCGTCCATCGACGCCGTCAACTCCGCAAACCCCGCCGGAAAACTCAGAACCGACTGCAAAACCATCTGGCAAAGGCAAAGGTGGAGCTCGAAAACCATCACATGCCCCGGCTCCATCTCCGAAACCATTATCTGTACCACTTCCAGCTCTGCCTGTGGCTCCATTAGCAGCACCCCAGGGATTAGAGACATCTTTTTGCGAGGGTTCAACTTACAAAACCTTATGCGCGGAAACCCTTACGAAGACATTAGCAAAGAATCCAAAGTCGGCGACCGAGCCCAGAGAACTTGTCAAATCTTTCATCACATCAACGACCGTTGAGCTTAACAAAGCCTTAGCCAAAGCCAGCACGATCAAGTTGAATACCGAGGCGGAGAGAAAAGCGTTCGATGTTTGCAAAGAAGTGATGGACAATGCCAAGGAAGAATTGCAGAGTTCTGTTGATAATGTAGAAACTATTGTCCCAGGGAAGCCAGAAACCGATGGTGACTTGAACAGTTGGCTAAGCGCTGTGATGGCGTACCAGGAAACGTGCATTGATGGCTTCCCTGAGGGACCATTGAAGAACCAGTTCAGGACTACCCTCAACTCTAGCGAGGTTTCTACTAGCAATTCCCTCGCCATGGTTGGTGCAGGGTTGACGAATGTCACGAATCCACAACAGCAGAAACCAGCCCCCTCGAATCCACAACAGCAGAAGCCAGCCCCTAAACGCCACCTCTTACAAACCAGATTTTTGTTTTTGGCCGAGAATGGGCTTCCCAACCGGATGAACCATGAAGAACGCGGGCTGTTGAAGGACGAGGAAGATAACTTGCCACCACCAACCATAACCGTGGCACAAGACGGTACTGGAAAGTTCATAACAATTAACGAAGCACTCGCTGCCATGACACCAAAATACCCTGGAAGGTGTGGTATATATAATAAATATGACCCATCATTGAATTCACCAGATCATTTCCATTATGTTTATCTACTTTCAACATGCATGCAGGTATGTGATATTCGTCAAGAAAGGAACTTACGCCGAGACTGTAACCGTTGCAAAACGCATGGTGAACCTTACCGTTTATGGTGAAGGATCACAAAGACCATTATCACAGGGGCAAAAAATTTTGTCGATGGAATCCCCACTTACCATACAGCAACTTTTGGTATGTTGACGATGACTTTAACCTTTGGAATTATACAAAGCTTCCTTGATTTCCCGAAGTTGTTCATTTTCATTCCGAGTTTGAAATTTTAAACAAATGACATATTGTTGTTCAGTGGCTTCTGCTCCTGGATTTATGGCAAGAAGCATAGGGTTCAGAAACACCGCCGGGCCAGTCGAACATCAGGCAGTGGAAGCGAGAATCTCCGCCGATAAGGCGATCTTCCTGAACTGTCACTTCGAGGGGTTCCAAGACACCTTATACGCACACAGTCACCGCCAATTCTATAGAAGTTGTGTGATTACCGGCACCGTAGATTTCACCTTCGGCGACGCGGCTGCCGTGTTCCAGAACTGCATGATTTACGTAAGGAAACCCAACGCCAACCAAAAGAACATCATCACCGCCCAAGGGAGGAAAGACAAGCTCGAAACCGCGGGAATTGTGCTACAAAACTGTAAGATATTACCAGACGAACCATTTAAACCCTTCACGAAACAGATCAAGAGCTACGTCTGGGCAGGCCATGGAAGCAATACTCGAGGACCATCATAATGGAATCACAAATCGAGGATTTCATCGACCCCGCTGGATGGCTCGAATGGGAAGGTGACTTTGCACTCGACACCCTTTTCTGTGGAGAGTTCAAGAACACGGGGCCTGGCGCAATAACAAAGGGTAGAATGAAATGGACAGGAAGAAGAGATATTAACAAGGAAGAAGCCATGAAATACACAGTAGAAGCATTCTTGCAAGGGGCATGGGTAAAGGAAGTAGACGCCAATGCTCGTATGGGTCTGGGGATTTAAAAAGGTTCATTTTCTTCGTATTTAATTATCTCAAGCAATGAGAATAGTAGTAAGCAGAGATCATTTCATGCCATGAATGTAGAGCTTCCCTCTCATCTCTAACCCCCAAGTGTTTCCTCGAGTTGGAAAAGATTTGAGTGTACACTTTATTTAATTTATGTTTGAAATAAATAAATAATCTAACATTATGATATTGTCTATCAGAGGGCTTAGTATCAGAAAGGAAGAAGAAAAGCTATACAATGAATTCTAGAGACTTCAACGAAGAAAAATTTCCGATCAACAATGTATGTTGGAGGACTTTTGGCTAGTGAATGTATTATTAAAAGTTTATGAGATTTGTTTGCTTTATATGATTTGGACGTAATATTATTATGTTTGGTTGATTAGATATAAATAATATTTTAAAAATATAACATAAGAATTATAATAAAACTAATATTATTTAATTTTTATTTTTTTAATAATATAAATTGATTATAAGAAAATATTAAAAAAAAAGTTCTTAATAATTGACATTCCACGTTCCACATGCTCTCCCTCTCTCTCTCTATATATAATTATTTGAATTAAAAACGAAAATTATATTTTTTCAACTACAGTCGCTCCATGAATTCAAATTCCACTAATATTCTTAAACAGTAATTACAACATTAATTTCTCATCATTTCATCTTCTAATCCGGAACTCGTCCTTCTTGAAAACGACGTTGAAGAATTGAATCGAACATCGCAGTATAAAGGGCACGCAAGCAGCCGCCGTGACGTACCGAAACCTGACGGATTCATCGGGAGTGACGGCGAAAATCGCAAACATTCCATAAGTGACGATCATGGAAATCGTGGAGATTACGATTTCCAGATGGAAAGGGAATCTGTGCGTGCGTGAGAGAGATGATTACGAGTATAGTGACGGATTTGAATATACTTAAAATTAAAAAGAAAAAGTTAATTGAAAAAAAATATAGATAGATATATTCTTTCCATTGCCCCTAAATATTTAAAAGTCAATTATTTTGTTATTTCATTGTAGAACCAAACATATTTTACCCTAAATCAAGCTCGATCTTATACTTTAAAAAATTTAACTTAATCCGATTCACTTAAAAAAATTAAATCAAATCAGATCAAATTCGAATAAAATACTCATCTCTAACTTCTCAAATCACTAGACGATTTTTAATTACAATTACCATTAATATCAATACTATGATAATCATTATAATATACACATAACAAATAAATAACTGAAATATAAACATTTAGTAAGACACTCAAATTCCAAAACCTCATTCTACCACACAACGATGACTTCATCGACAAGAATCTATTGCACTTTAATATTTAATTTGAATTCATCGTATTCGTATCTAGGAGTGTTTATCGTAAGCTGATTACTGCCCAATTTATGTTCGGTAAAAGATTTTGGTGCTCGACTCAACTCGATTCATTGCTCGTTAAACTTTTTAAAATTTTATTCAACTCATGCTCAATAAGAAAATTTGTTGCTCGACTCGTTACTCGTTAAAGTTTTATTCGACTTGTGCTCGATAAGGAAATTTATTGCTCGAATCGTTGCTCATTAAGGTCGTTAAAATTTTACTCGACTGATGCTCGTTGAGAAAATTTATTACTCGACTCGTTGCTTTTTTAGCTCAACGAAAATTTTATTTTATTTTATATAAATAAAATCTACTAATACTATATAAAATTTAATATAAACATAAATTAATAAATTTAATCAAAAAATTATCAAATGAGTGTATAGAGCAAATTCCAAGTTATGAAAAATTAACAAGTTACTTGCGAACTTATCAAGTCAAGTTAAACTCTACTCAACTCAGCTTGTTAAGATCTCAAGTCTAACTCGAGTCGAGTCAACCAAAATTGAGCTTTTTCCGAATTTAACCGAGTCGAATTCGAACTGCTCAACTCATTAAGCACCCCTAATCGTATCTAACTCTTATAAACTCTTAATTATTTCAACATGCAAGGGGAACTAAAATGGACAGTTCTAGGGAGTGAGAAACCTTAATTTAAAGTTAAAAAAATGATAAGTTACCTAAACTGTTACTAAAGATATATAAAATACTACATAATTATAATACTTTGAATATATACATAAAATATTACCAATTTTGAATACTTATACATAAAATGTTGCAAACTTTAATACCATGGTACAGATATATTACCAGTGGTGAGCTTTTACACCATTTAAGCTATAATATTGATGATGTGGTGTATAAAAAGAATCTCTGGTCACTTCCAAATTCCAACTAGTATTTACTTTTTCTTCACAAAAGGACACACCAAATTCCAACAGAAATTGAAGAAAAGAAATTGTACACGTATGGGACAGTAAAAGGAAGAAATAAAAGAGAGAGAGAGAGAGGTACAT